TAGGCGGCGTGCGAACTCAAAGAACTAAAGTTCAAAAACAAACAAGAAACAGAACAGGCGGTTCAAGGACAGAGTGGCGACCTCGAACAAATCAACCTCAACATCAGATACAGCGGTATGAGAGAAGGAACAACCGGAACTGGCGAGAAAATAAGGAAAATTATAGATGGGAGAGACAAAAGCCACACGAGATCAAAATCTCGAGATTCCATGAAACAAGAACTTATCCGAAGGATAGAAAGCTAGATGAAGAGCCGACACTACATTGTCAAATCAATGATGCGAAGACGCAATTAGCTGTAGACACAGGCTCGGAAGTAACACTATTGTCAAGGTCCCTAGTTCAGAAAATAGGCAACCTCCACAGAGACTATGATAGAAAAGATATTCCATTCCGGAGCGTTACCGGACACAAAATTTATCCACACAGAAGAAGTGAATTCCGATTCAAAATCGGCCCTCTACAATTTGATTACACATGCTACATCGTCGATGATCGAATCACGTATCCATTCGACGGCTTAATAGGAAAAGATATAATTACAGACTTAAAGTTAGGTATACATATGGCGGACGAAACAATAATACTTCCCGATGGAAGAGGAATAAGCTTCCAGGAGCCCTACGAGCCAAGTGAGAAATCAAAACGGGTACAAGCAAAAACGACCACCACTAACAGAAAAGCTGTTGTTCGAGTCGTCCGATCTTATGAGAACGTAATAGAAGTAGAGAAAATTAAAGATAGACATCAAGAACCACTAGAACCTAATAAAAGTCACATTCCTAAAAAGATGAAAAAAAGGGTGAAGAAAACGATACGATCCTCAGAAGAAAAGGGTAACGAACCAATGTCAGTTCCCCCGACGAGAAAGGGACAAAAGTTAGAAACAAGGAGCCATTCCGAACCGGAACCAACTCCTATATCCACCCAAGTAGCAGCAAGAAACGGGAACAATCAAAGTCAACCGGAAGCCACTCAGAAACAAGAGAAGCACCCGGAATCTGAAAGTAGCAATCAACCAGTGGGCCTGAATTTGTTGCTAAAAGCTATAATGATCCTTTTCACTATGATGCTTACAATTTTAGGCATTCCATTGTTGCCCGTAGTCATTTTACAGAAACATTCAACCTCGCCACAAAGTCAAAGAACGCTAGACACAACGCTGACTACAATGCTACATCCGCCGCGAAGCCGTATACCCGTCAGAAACTCGTCTCCCACACGCACAAATAAAGTCCGACTGAAACCAAATCAGAAAAAAAATTGATCGCGACCATTAGCAGAATTAATTAGGGAGCACAACAGCCCACTATGAAGCGAAAAAAAAAAAAAAAACAGTGAACCGATCAAAAAGGGGATAATCGAAATCTATTAATAGATAGAAAATACAACGCGTGTCGTAGAACTTCCGCGAAAAACAAAACAAAAGATGCGAGAGAGTAAATCATAAATTTTAATTTGTTGTACGAAAGTATCGGAAAAAGAAACATTTAAAGTCGGAAAAATATGAATGAAAAATAATTGTCGAAATAAAAGATGAATGAGAAGCAATTGTAGTACGTTACAATTCAAAAAAATTGTCGGAAGTTGTTGATTATATTGATAATGTTAATGTTGGAAATAGAACGATTTTTGTAAATATTAATGACGATATTTTGTTAATGTTACTGTAATTTGTCAGAGAGAGAGAAATTTTTCCATTGTAATTGAGGACCTACAACAAAGTGAAAATCGAACTTGCTCTTTTGGGAACAAGCACGATTTTGGAAAGGCCGGGATAATGTGAGAGTCGAATTTTGGAAATAAATTCGTTAAATAAATTTTTTGTTGAGGGAGGAAAAGTTAAAAAAAAATAACTTCAACCCGATATAAAAAAGAACATAAAAATCTTTTTCCACGAACTTAGTTCCTTGTCAAGTATGATACATCGAATGTGTCACCCAAAATCTCGAAAAAGACTATTGGTCAGTGGTGAAAAAATAGTCCTAATAAGACAGTGGAAAAAACCAACGGGACCCCCTTTATAAAAAGGAGGGGTCGATACGTAAGAGTCAGTCTCTGGAAATTAGTGCGCACTGTGCATTTTACAAAAACGGATAAGCCACTACCAGGAACTCATCTAATCGCCGCTGTTCGAAAGGACTACGCCCGACAATGTTAGGAAGAACTTTGTGCTACTTGAAAAACGTTTCAACGTTCGAAAGAACTTTGTGAAGTCACTAATCAGCGATTCAACCCAAGACTAATCAACGATTCAAACCAAGGTATTTATCTTCGCGCGAAATATATGTAAGCTCTCTCTCTCAGGAATACGGGTAACCGGGCAAAAATTAGATATGTTCATTAAACCGATGGTATATAGCTATTGCGATTGTATATAGTATGCACAATAAACGGGCATTATGTATAGATGATGTATAGTGTAATTCCTCTGATTCTCTCGTGACGCCTCCATCCCGGAACTAAAAGTCCACAAACGCCACCGTTCGCGTAACAAAATAAACGGCCAATAACTATTTTTTCTGTGTCTGATAGAAGACACAGTGGTGTCATCCTGACAGGGTATCGAAGAGATACCGATCCTGCGGTCACAGGTTGAAGCAGATGATGATTTTCAAGTTTAACATTTATCGCTGTAAGAACTGGATTTTGTAGTTTAGTTTTCATTAAATTTAATTGCAAAAAAATGCGTTTAACTGCTGCATTTGAATGAGGAAGCAATAAAAACATCTATTTACTGTCAAAGTAAAGTAAAAAATTACAGAAATATAGAATAAAAATGAATGTTTTGAAAGGAAAGGTATTAGGATTTCATGAATGGTACTAGGAAAATGGTGNAACGTTCGTATTGCATTTGGACTACTACTGACCAATGCTAACAGACCAGCGTTGCCAGATGTTTTTTGCCCTTGTAGCCAAATAATTTTTAAAAAGTAGCCCAAAAGTAGCCAACTGCTCGAGCAGTTGGCTACTTTTGGGCTACTTTTTAAAAATTATTTGGCTACAAGGGCAAAAAACATCTGGCAACGCTGGTCTGTTAGCATTGGTCAGTAGTAGTCCAAATGCAATACGAACGTTTGTTTCTTGAAAATTTGATCACGATTTAAATACAGTATTTTCTTTTAATATTACCGATATGTCATCGAAAAGAAAACGTGTTGTATTATCATTAAAAGACAAATTAATATATTTATTTCGATTATCCGGATTTTTCCTTATCCGGACTACATTCATCCCCAATTAGTCCGGATAATCAAGGTTATACTGTATTTATACTGAATTACAGATTTATAATGTGTAGAAAAAGATTAAATATACAAATCGAAAAAATATATATATTTCTATTTAAATCCTTGAAGTTAAACTCTCGTATAATATAATTGAAATTAAATTTTAGATTTATGCGATATTATACTGTATGGCTATTTAATCCAATGGATTGGTTTTTTCCAATTTTCGCCAAGACTAAAACGGGAAGAAATTTCAAAAGACACATTGAAATAATTCATCAGTTTGGTGAAAAGGTAAATCGACTTACATGAAAGATCAAGGCTTATGTTTGGATTTAACAGATTTATGTTTTAATTTAATGCGCAGGTGTTCAAGAGAATAAAAGAAAATTACGAGAAAAGACAGCTATTACACTTAGAAGATGATGCACATAGTATAAAAGATTCGAAGATAAAACCAAAGCCTTTCATAGATTTACTGTTAGATCTTCATGTCAATCGAGGTTTATTATCGGAAAAAGACATTATCAAAGAGATGGAATTCTTTATGTTTGCAGTACGTATAATTCGTTAAAAATGTAAACGAAAATAGTTTTATAATTCTGCACGTATTTTAATGACATCATTTACATTATTGCGTTATTAATTAAATAATTATGTAAATCTTATTTTATTAATAATTACAATTAACTTTTTTCAGTTAATTTAAAATTATATTTGATGTATAATTTATTAATCAATGTATTAATACTAAGTAATATGTGAAATATAAATAGAAAAATTCCTGCATACAAAATAAATTTTCAAATTTTTCTGTTTCTATTTGAGTCTATTTAGTAAAATATTTACGAAATTAAGAATCTACAGGAATTCACATCATAAATTATCTGTATTGAAAATTTGAATTTATGGGTCTTTTATAATAAAGGGCTGCGGGTTTTTCTTGGCAATTATTGATAGAGTAAATATTATGTGATTCATTTGAAATATAGTCGACGCTGTACAGTCATCTGTCTCAATTATAGTACACACGCAACGAAGTAGAAAGAAACAATCTTACGTAATTTTCTTGAGAGGGAAATCTTTGGTATGGCGATTTCTACCGTTTAATCTCATTTTAAGGCTGACCGAATTCACATTTTTCAAATACTGATTGAATTTTTAATTGTTATCGGTTTTTTTTACTAATGTCTAAGATTCTTCTGAACAGAATTTTCTTCATAAAATTGACATCGTTAAATATGGTTCTATGAAACATACTCGAATAATTCTGATTTTAACAATAAACTGTTGTTTTTGTCTATCATTCTCTATTCCTTCTGGATATCAAAAGTTTGCTTTTGATTCATACACATGGTTGTTTCGTGATAAGAAATGGAATCTGTCAAAAACAACACCTAAATAATTCTTTTTTTGGATTTGATCCCGAGTTTCCCAGAGTGATAGGGTTACATCTTAACTTTTTCCGCCGTCTACTGAAAAAATATTTCATGAAAAATTATTATTAATTAATATTCAATGTTCTATTGAGGAAGAAATTTAACTTTTGACTTTAACTTATTTTAATATCAGGCTTCCGATACAACCGCCCATGCTATGTCATGGAGTCTTTATTTCCTGGGAAGATTCCACGAAATACAGGACAAAGTGTATCTGGAATTACAGAGCATTTTCGAAAATGACATGAATAGAAATATTACAGTTGATGATTTGATGAAAATGACTTATTTAGAATGCGTTATAAAGGTAACTTTACAATTTTTTAATATACAAAAATTAATTTGATATATTTCTACACCAAACTTTTCAGGAGTCGATGAGAATCTGTCCTCCTGTTCCTGTCATTGCAAGAAAAAATCCGTGTGAAATAAAAATAGGTTAGTTGTATCAATCTAGACTTTTGCTTCTATTAATATCTCTATATTTTAATCATTGGTTATTCATTATATTAATAAAATAGATGATTATATTTTACCACCAAAATCTACTATCTCAATTTGCATCCATGCCATTCACCACAATCCTTCTGTTTATGAAAATCCAGAAGTGTTCGATCCAGATCGTTTCCTGCCCGAAAACTTTAAAAAACTTCATCCTTATGCTTTTCTGCCATTTTCCGCTGGTCCACGAAATTGTGTCGGTGAGTGAATCGTAATAAATTAAACACAGAGTTATTTTACGAAAATGATTTTTTCACAGGAGGTAAGCTTGCGATGGTTGAAATGAAAACCATATTAGCTAATGTTCTTTGGAATTTTAAAGTTCACTCTTTGGATCCTCGAGAGGAAATCGTTACTTTTGCTGAAGTCATTTTGCGCCCGATATCGGGAATAAGAATGCGGGCAGAAAAAAGATAAACTACTCTTATATTGTCCTACCTGAAGAAATGTTTATTACAAATTTTCATAAACATTGCCTATAATCTAGACTAGTAGGTTTGTAAACTACATTAAAATCTGCAGTTTACGTCTGTTAGACAAGTAAAATATGTTGTATAATGATTGTTATCTAGACAACTATATCAAAGTCGTTGTACTTATTATAAATAATCATTCATAAATTGTAGTTCATGATAAAATATGTAACAATAAAATATAAATGATGGACTCTTAGTTTAATGTGATATGGTTTCGTGTAAAAAACTTATTAATCCAATTTATATATTTTTGCGAGTTGTATAGTGTTGTAAAATTACGTATTGTCCAGTTCAATCTATAGCAATTTTTTTAACCAATTTTGTTAACAAGATGAAATAATGTCATTTTATGATCCAAACAACTCGGGTTAACATCCAGGGTTAAAACAATAATTATCGATACTCTATCGTAGAGATAATAGCTGATCTCTGCTATTATCATGCGACTATTAACGCTAATGCTCTGTATGAATTTATTATGAATTAAAATGAAAATAGTGTTTATTCGTGGTTTTTTTATCTTTCATTTTTCCTGGGCGGAAGGAGTAAAATAGAACAACACTTTTTTAAATGTATTTTGTATTTTACAATGCCCTTTCAGCACCTAACATTAAAATATTTTGAGTAATTTTTTTTATTTAAAATTTACGCATACACATATATTCTGAAGCAATTAGACCAAATGCTTGTAAGTTTAAATAAAAAGTTGTTTAATTGTGCATTTATATCGGCCATATAATGTGAAAAGTAATTCATTTTTAGAAAAAAAAGATTTTTAATATTAATTTTGTGATTTTTGACTGTTCAGAAAAACATAGATGATTCTTCATGTTAAGTGATGAGAGTCAAATAGTTTCTGACAAATATATATTTAGATTTCCCAATAAGACTTATTAATTAATTTACAGTAAAGCCTCGATTATCCGCCTCAATTGGAGACAGGGGTCGGTCGGATAATTGAAAAGTCGGATAACCGAAAAGTATGAAAAAATCCATTACTTGTGTAGTATATTATTATATCCCATGTAATTAGTATATTATATTTCGCTATTAATCTACTTCGCGTTGAATTTTCATCGATGTTAAGCCTAACAAAAAGTTTTAAAATAGTAATCGTCGCTATTGTATCGTTAAAAATTAGAAAATTAAGTCTCGTTTAAATCTGGCTCCCTTTCATGGTGGAATGAGTGTTGCAAGCTAAAACACGTAAAAATAATATTAAAGTAGCCAAGACATAGCCAAATATTGTAGTGCCACATCATTAGTGGACATTTGAATTTTGCCGACTGGGACGGTCATTTAACCGAGGTGTCGGTTAATCGGGGGTCGGATAATCGAGACTCTACTGTACTGGATTTTAAATATTTGTATTTTTTTAGTGTTTTCTGATAAAGAATGAAACTAAATTAAATAAATCTAATATAACCAGTGGTTATTTTAAAAAATATATTTACTGTACAGTACTTTTTATCATGATTTTTATAAAGTAACTAGCAGACCCCGCCACACGTTCTTGTGGCTTAAAATATATCCATTATAAATGTATAACACTTCCCCCTGGGAGGAAAATTTTCTGAAAAATTTCTTCTTATTGTACAATCTCTTGACGTACCCTATTAAAACGCAATCAAAAACGCAAAAACCGGCATTTAAAATAATATAATAGAAGCCAAGTTCTTCACGGTAAGCCTTAATTCTGTCTCTCTCCCTCGTGGGGGAATATCGAAAAATTTCTTTTAGTGTACATTCTGTTTACGTACCTTATTAAAACGCAATCAAAAACGCAAAAACCCGCATCTAAAATAGTATAAATAGAAGCAGAGTTCTTTACGGTAAGTTTTAATCCTAACCATCTCCCTTCAGTGGGGGGAATTTCGACATGTATATTATATAAAAACACGTGCGTATTCGAATGCAGCGTTGTGTCAAAATTTCAAAGGAATCGGTAAGAACAAACGAACATTACATTTCTATTTATATAAATAGATAGAAGATGATCTGCTTTAGTTCATTTTCACAGAAAAGCATAATGCCTCACAGAAAAGCAAACTTAGGGCGTCGTACTCGTAGCGCCATCTGTTGGACATAAAAGCCTTAACCTAGATTATATCTTTTAATATATATGAATGTTTAACGGAATAATATACAGCCTCTGTCCACTCTGAGGTTCAATTCTAAATACTGGTAAAAAAAGTTTTGAAATCGGATGAGTAGTTTCGGAGATTACCTGCTGCAAACAAACTTACATACATAGAAACATTACCTCTTAATAATATTAGTATAGATGATTTACTTAACTAACTTTTGTATTGTCTAACAGAATTAACAAGTTATAAAAAAAGTTTGACGATCTTGTATACCTTTTATTAAGGTACAAATAAGTTTGTATTAATATAAATAAGGAAAAATGTAATACATGTCATACATATGTAGGTATATGGAGATACACTTTCACAATACAGTAGACAGTCGATTATCCGAATCAATTGGGGACTGGGGTTGTTCGGAAAAAAACATCAATATTTCGGATAATCGATTATGTACGAAAAAATATATTAACCTATTCCATGTTGAAATTTTTCTTTGTTGCATGTCGCTTCGCGTTGAATTTTCGTCGATGTTAAGCCTAACGAAGACAATTGTACTGTTAAAGATTATTTTTTTATTTTGTACAAATAAAATAAATATATTGAAAAATATAAAAACAATAAAAAATTATACTTCAGAAGTTAATTTAGTATCAAAAACGTAAAATATTTGAGTAGCACAAAACATAGCCGAAGATTGCAGCGCTACAGCACTGGCGAAAATTTAAATTTGCCGACTGGAAATCTTTCGGATAATTGACTTTCGGATAATCGACGCTCTAATGTAGTAATGTTTCTCTTGTTTTTTCTTTCGGATAAATAAGTGTGAAAAACAGTAAATGTAGCGTAACTGTGCGTGATGAAATCGAAAACATATATTATACATACTGCATATTGTCACTACTGACTAAGCTGAGGGGGTAGATCAAATTTATCGAATGGATAGGTCTAATTTGTTTATACATAAAAGTCAGAGTTGAATAGTTGCCATTGTTTACATGTAAAGAAAATGTACTGACGAAAAATTCTGGGAGAATCTTGCTAACTTTCTACCAGTAAACAGCAGAAAAACAGAACTAAAATTATTACTTGTCTATCGATTGCAGAGAGGTGTCCGAATTGCGCATCGACCAGGTACAACATTTTGCTTGAATCAGACAAGTATTTTTGTCCGGAGATACATATATACTCTTGCTACAGACTAAACTTATTTACTTTATATTAAATCTTCGTAAAGTTAAGCTTTCCTGCATCATAATGATTTTTCTAGTAATATTCTCAAATTCACACAGAGACTGTTCCATTTTATTTATAGTATAAAATTTGAATACGACATAAAGTTAATACATATAAAACAAACTCAATACAGATAGTTGGATATTGGTACTAATTTAGTTTTATACAGGGTGGGCCATCGAAAACAAAACGGCAGAGTTATCGTGTTCGTCCAAGCAAATCGCTCGGACGGATCGATTTTATTCTCAAGGGGGACATCTTCTGCAATAAAGTTTTGCGATTTTAAATACAACAGACAACAAAAAATTTTAAAAACTTATTCATTTTTTTATTACCTAAACAAACACTTATTTAGGAAAAAAAGTAACACAAACTATTAAAAAGCATTAAAAAAACCTTTTAAGCTGGACCGCATATGCAAGGAAAAAAATATTCTCCCTTGAGAATAAAATCGACCTGTCCGAGCGATTTTCTCAGACGAACACGATAACTCTGCCGTTTCGTTTCCGTTGGCTCACCCTGTATATATTGATGATAAAATTCGCTGTTATCATTTATACTAAGATTTTAATCTATTTGGACTGATCTGTTAGGTTTACCTTCTGAAAACTGAATAACTACAAATTAGTGTGGTATCTCGAATGCTCAAAAGGTACTTGTTTGTTTAATGTGTTTGGTTATACCAGCTTATGTATAGCTACTACCTGCTATCCATGGCATCCAAGAAAAGTGAGAAAGCCGCAATGTCTTATAGGAAGGTTGTAACAGGTGATTATAGTGGAAAAAAGACATATCGAAGAGCATGAAAACAATACATATCTGAAAAATCATTGGCAATGTTAATTAATGATATCCATGTCTTCTTTATATACCATTTTTCAGAACAAAAAAGCAATTAAAGCAACAAAGTAGGACAATGTTATGGCAAATGTCACTTAAGAGATCTCATGTGATGGAAAAAATGGAAAAATTTTTCGTTGTGTGAATAAATGAAAAACAATTGGCTGCTGATATTATCTCTGATAAGATTATTTGTAAGCCAGGCAGCTGCATACTGATCATAAGAAACGAGAAATCACTACTCCGTAATAAGATACAGCAAATTCAATTTTCATTTCATTATACAGCATTTATACATTAATCTCTTGTTTAAATTTATGATCTAAGACATTGAATTTTGTTACATTTATTTTAAATTATGCGTATTTGTCGTTTACATCTATCGCAATAGATACTATTTAGTGTCTGGAAATGGATTGATTGAGTTTTTGTTATTTCTAATGGAGAATGTTGATTCGAAGTTCGAAAAATTCAGAGTTTGTCAGCCTTATGGAAAGAATTACATTTAATGTACGAGATACTATTGTGAAAAACCACGTAAAATTTTTAAATACGATTCAACTATCTAA